CGTAGCGCCGCTCTGGGCGCTACTGGACCGACCCGGCAGCACCCCAGCTGCTCTGTCCCAGGCGTCCCCAAGTCAGCTGCTGCTGAAACTGACCAGCGGCTGACTACAGGAAGCCCCTGCCCCAAGCTTACATACAGATTCAACTTAAGAACAAACCTACAGTCCCTATCTTGTACGTAACCCGGGGACTGCCTTTAGTGTTGCAGACCTACACATACTTTTAATGTTCAGGCTTATACAAAACATCCTTTCCTTGCAACTTCTGAGAACAGTATTACCCAGAGACTTGACCATTTTCCTTGGACACTCTCTTTCAGACATATTATAGTCACTCTGGAGGATTCAAAGATATACTGTATTTCACTTGTTTAATATAGCAATTATAACATGGAGTTTGCTTCAGCCAGTAGCTTCTATTTCTTGATTTTTTTTACAAGAGCAACAAGAGTGAATCACTTCTTGCAAGTATCCATTTTCAATTTGTCTCATGATGGATGAGGAACTGTTATTTGAAATAAAAGACCTTCTCTGTAAGATAGGCACATTGAAAGGACCAAGTTAATGAGATCTAATAACCACCACCTCTTCAGTCAGACGTCTATTGTATCACAGGCATTCTCTCTGTTCTGTATTATTCCTGGGAAGCAATAGAAAAAGTGGGGAGGCAAATAGAAATTTCACCCAGCTTTGCAAGAGAGCATCCAACACCTCATTATCCAAAAGCCTGATACATGAAGAGGCCAAAGGATGTATCCAGATGCAAAGAAGTCCATCACCAGCACACCAAACTGATATTCCATGAATGAAGATACTACCAGATGCAATTTCTATTCTGTTTAATCCAACTTCTGCCAGTTGTTCATCTTCTCCTGTAAGGGCAGGGTATACAGAAATAGGTCACTTTACTCTGTGCAGTGCAGGATAAATTGGTTTTCTCTCTGGGATCAAGCTGATGGCATTCTTCCTAGTTTTGTTAAAAATACTATATGACACTTTGATTGTCATAACCAAAACAAGTCCGTTATCAATGGAAGGAAGAGTGCTCTGTGACATGAATAAAGCACTATGTTTCATCAGTGGATGCTGTGCTTCCCGCTTTCTTGTATCCAAATGAGCCCTTTCCATTATTTCCAGCTGGCACCTGATGTATCACTGAAGGATCACTTAGTAAAACAGGCCAATGGGTATGTCTCAAAAACACTCTTTTCAACTCACCAAATGTAGAGGAAAATTGACAGTGGCACCTTCACTTCTGTGAACTGATGCAACAGACAAGATGTGAAAGGAAGAACAGAAATTACAGAAGGCTCATATGAATTCCCTTTCATAGAAACTTGTCTGTGTAGAAGGCAGCATTCCCAATAGGATCCACTAAGTATTAAACTTTTGCTTATGTATAACCATGTTTTCCTTTATGACAACCTTCAACTGCTATTGACATTCTTCTGAGCCCTTGTACTCAATAGGATTCATCCATATCCCAAGCCTATTACTGACTTCCAAGGCATGATTGTGTTTATTATGAACCCAAAATACACCAGAGACATATCGCTTTGTTTTTGCTCTCTACCTCTGCACATAGCCTTGCTCAGCAGAATTTTCCAGGAAGAGATAGGAGTGAATTTCCTGCTTCTTTAAACCCAATATCAATACTGCATTGATTATGGAGAACACACTAGTCAGATCAATGTTAATGCTCAGAGTTTAATTTTTTTTAATAAAATATAATTATAAGCAGATTGGTAGAATTATCTATGGAATGATAAAATGGGAACATAAGGAAATTTAGCAAATTTCCTTAGGAAATTTCTGAAATGCTGAACAAACAGAAGCAGGGAATGGGTTATATCACTCCAAGCTGATGATGAGGATGATGGATGGTTTCACTGAAGATCTGGCATTTCCATGGACTGCCTGAAATTAGAAATAGAACAAATCTTCATAGTTCACAGAGTTTGAGGCCAGAAAGGACCATAAGATCATTTTGCCTAACCTATGTATCACACAGGTCCTTTACATTTAATCTACTTTCCCCTACATTGAGAGCATAAAATATTTGTGTTTGACTAAAGCATAACTTCCTTGCTAGAAGACATTAAAAGATGGAGAATCTATCATTTATCTGGGTAGTTTAGTCCAACAATTAATTACTTCACTGGTTAAGAATGTTTGCCTTATTTCCAATTTGAATTTTTCTCATTTCAGCTCCCAGCCATTGAGATTTGTTATGCCTTTCTCTGCTAAACTGAAGAGCTTTTTAGTAAGAAGTATTTTCTCCCTGAGCCGAACTATTTTAACAGCAGTGATTTTACATTGACTTTCAGAGCATTGATGACATTTTTTAACAGTAAAGGGTCTATCACCAATCTCTAAGGAAGCCCACTAAATATCCCCACTCACTAACAATTTCCCACTAATGACTACTATTGGAAGTGTCAGTCAGTTCTTAATTCACTTAATATATGCTTTCTTCATAATGTATAGTGCTAATTTATTGAATCAGGATGTCATGCTGTACTACATCAATTGTATCTGTGAGACATGACCAGCTCTACAACTGGACAATGTCCAGTGACCTGATTATGGTCAAAATTTTGGTAACAATTGTTCCTACACTAAATAACGTGGCATCAGTCAAGTGTCTAACTCCCGATAGTCATGCAGGCTGTAGCTTCTGCTCTGAAACAACTACTGACAGTGTTTTGTCCAACATTTTCATTAATGATGCAGATGATGAAATGGACTGCACTATCACTAATTTGGCAGGTGACACTAAGGTAGAGGAAGAGGTAGATATGCTGGAGGTAGATGAGACAGGGTGGAACTCAGGACTCCTCTTGGGTTGTCTCCCTGGTGTGCTGATCATTCTACTAATATGCACCTTCCTACTCTCTGGGGCTCCCCAGCATCCTGTCCTGCTGAGCCGGATATTCTAGTCTTCCACAGATAAGACACAGCTACTATTACTGTCCCCCATCAGCACAATACAGACACTGAACTAACTCAGCTCCAAGAGGACTCAGTTATAAGGCCTCAGCACCCAGGAGACCAACCCCTGAGTGGGACTCAAATTCTAAATAAATCTCTTTTACCATGTGTAAATGTTTTACACAGAGAAAGTTCATTTATCAATGAGAGATATCTACAGTGGTTGCTTTTCCCCAGGTAACAATTATTTACACTGGGCCTGATAATAAACAAAAGTGTTTATATTAAGTACAAAAAGTAAGATTCAAGTGGTTGCAAGTGAAAACATTCAGATCAAAGTAACTAAATTAAAATCAGTGCTTAGATAGTTCTAATCCACTAAGAAACTAGATATATGCAAATTCTTACCCTAAACAGCTTTTCATATTTCTTGTAAAAGTTTCTAATCAGAGTTGATCTTTCACTCTGACTTGGGTCTACAAGCTTATTCAAAGTTATTTTGTATCCTCTTCAGATGTGTCAGGCAGTTTCACAATCCATCTGAAAACAAAGACTGATTGCTTCCAATTGCTTAAATAGACTTTCCCTAGGGCATCCCATCTCCATTGAAAAATACCAGGTCCGAGATAGATTCCAGTACCAGGTGGCATGGTCACAACTCCCTAGGACCAACCACAGTTTGGGGTCACAGGACAAACACGGCTATTCACAGGTCCCTGAGTTGATCACCAAGCCATTGGGTTTCCAGGGCATCAATGATGGCCCTCATTAGCACATTTACTATAATAAACAGATCCACACTCAATACACAAGGATACAAGCACAAAAATAGGATATATATATTCAGCAGATTGCAACTGTAAAATTGATATGTTACATGACATATGTGTATAACTCAGCCAATTTTTATAAAGCATGGCAGGCCCTCATGACAGTAGAGACAGGGTGCAAAGTGACCTACAAAAATTGAAGGATTGGGCCAAAAGAAATCTGACGAGGTTCAACAAGGACAAGTGCAGAGTCCTGCACTTACAACAGAAGAATCCTATGCATAACTCTAGGCTGGGGACAGACTGGCTAAGTGGCACTTCTGCAGAAAAGGACCTGGAGATTATAGTAGACAAGAAGCTGAATATGAGTCAATAGTGTGCCCATGTTGCAAAGAAAACTAATGACATCTTTAGCTGCATTAGTAAGAGCATATTACATATTACTAAAGAAGAGTGCCCCTAAGACACTACTTCCTTATCATGCAGTGATAAATCTGACTCAAGGTAGGCTGTCAGGTTCAGAGTAGCTATATTCAACACACCAGCTGCTGCTGCTGCACTGATAAGAGAATCTATTCTTCCTTCAATAGCTCACATCTAGTTTTTCACATATGCAGAACATTAATAATCTGTTAGAGGCTTTTCACATTGCAGTCACTCACTTCATAAAATTCTGTACTTTATGTCTCTTTCACTCATTTTCTCTTAATTATTTATAATTCTTAGCAGAGACCCATGCAAATAAAGTAAGTGAGCCCATTTCTCAAGATGTAACTATAACATAATACTGGATCATAATGTTTTTAGTGTCCCTTAAGGATTAAAACAGAGGCTGCCACAATCCTTTTCGTTTCTAGACAAAGGCACATTTACACCCAAGACTCCAATGGTACAATGTCAGTGCTTTAATCCCATTCACCTACTTAGTCCTAAAAGGCACATCATTAATCAGCATAATCACATGGCCTATTATGCATTATTATTTAATGCTTTAACTAGAACATACAGTTTTATTACTGTGAAAACAATTACTTTCCCCCAAATACACTTGAGAGCTTTGGAAGAGGAAACAGATGAAATAAAGTGGCTTGTGTTCCTTTCCCCTCCCCACCACTTAAAGATATTAGTCACCACACACACACACACACACACACACACACACACACAGAGGTTGTGCTTTTTTATATAATCACACAAATCTGTACATAATTTAACAGAAACATAATAAACACAAGCCTATTTCCTGGACATTCTTGCAAAGATACAATTCAGACAAAGCTGAGAAGCATTAGCAAAGCTGACCTGTGATTGATAGAACTATGTTGTACAGTCCTTCCCTCGTGATGAAACTAATTGTGGTTTGGTGTGGCTGAAGAAGAGTGTTAGTACAAGAAAAACTTCCACTGTCCAATCAAGTTTAATGTGAATAAGTCAGCTGGGTGCAGAAACCTGTTCCACAACCTTTGGTGACTGTGGAACAGTTGTGAATAAAGATCGCTTTTGTTTTCTTTCTAGGTAAACTTCTATTTAGAAGTGTAACAAACAAATTGCAGTTCTACTATAATCAGATTCATTTAAACTCAGATCATCTACAAGCAGTGAATGCCAAAGAGTGGGCAGCTACCTTTAAATACAACATGCACGCATCTTGATAGTAATTTGTTAATCCTTTTTAATTATATACTACATTTAATATTAAAGTAAGTTTTCTATAATTCCACCCAGTCTCCAAATGCAAATGAACATTCTGTGTGTGTGTGTGTGTGTGTGTGTGTGTGTGTGTGTGTGTGTGTAATATGGTAAAATAAAAACATCCATATTATATCATCAGTTATGTACAAAACATTAAATAAGTCTCTTTTTTTTGTGGTAACTGCTGTTGTGAGGCTGGATGTAACATGCTAGAAAGTACAGAGCCCCGGCTGGGGTGATTTAGTTGAGGTTGCTTCTACTTAGAGCAGCGGATTGGAATAAGTGATCTGCTGAGGTCTCTTCCAGCTCTAATCTTCTTTGAGTGTGTGTTCTGCAAAAAGATGATTTTAGCATCATCCTATTTAAAATACATTTACTAAATAAAAACCTAAGGCTAGACTACATTTATATTAAACAGTATCCAGATTCTGACATTTGACAGCACATAAAAATGGTGTTTCTTGTAAAATCCACCAGGAAAAAAGCAAACTATCTGGACTGTAGACTGAGCATGAAAGGCAATTATAAAACAAAATCTGTATCCATTTTATTCATGAAGATATTTGAAGGTTCCTATAAAAATCAAATACAGATATGTTAGCCAAAAGTTCAGACCATGTGTAAAGGCATTACAGATTGACACAGCCATGTCCTTCTAACATAACAGCAGTCATACCAGGTCAGACCAAAGGTCCATGTAGCCCAGTATCCTTTCTTCCAATAGTGGCCAATGCCAGGTGTCCAGAGAGAATTAACAGAACAGGTAATCATCAGATGATCCCTCCCCGTCAGCTATTTCTAGGGAATAGGGAAGGCTATTAGCCTGGATGGGTAGGAATTGTGTCCCTGGAAATAGGTGACGGGGAGGGATCATCTGATGATTACCTGTTCTGTTAATTCTCTCTGGACACCTGGCATTGGCCACTATTGGAAGAAAGGATACTGGGCTACATGGACCTTTGGTCTGACCTGGTATGACTGCTGTTATGTTAGAAGGACAAGGCTGCCTCATCCTTAATTACCTTAACTAGTAATCAAGTGATCCCTCCCCTGTTACCAATTTCCTGGGATACAATTCCTACCCATCGAGGCTAATAGCCACCCCTATTCTCCATGAATTTATCTAGTTCTTTTTTGAAACCTGTTAAAATTCTGGTCTTCAAAACATCCTCTAGCAAGGAGTTCCAAAGATTGACTGTGTGTTTTGTGAAGAAATGCTTCCTTTTCTTTATTTTAAACCTGCTACCTATTAATTTCATTTGGTGACCCCTGGTTCTTGTATTATGGGAACAAATAAATAACTTTTCCTTATTTAATTTCTCCATGCTAGTTATGATTTTATAGACCTCTATCATATCCCCTCAGTCTCCTCTTTTCTAAAAATCCCAGTTTTAGTAATCGCTCCTCACATGGCAGCTGTTCTAAACCTTTAATCATTTTTGTGGCCCTTTTCTGAACTTTTCCTAATACCAAGATATCGTTTTTTAGAGATGAGGAGACCACATCTGCATGCAGTATTCAAGATGTGAGCATACCATAAATTTATACAGAGGCAATAAGATATTTTCTGTCTTATTCTCTATCCCTTTTCCTAACACTTCATTTGCTTTTTTCACTGCTACTGCACATTGAATGGATGTTTTCAGAGAACTATCCACAATGACTCCAAAATCTTTTTCCAGCATGAATAGCTAAGTTAGTCCCCATCATTTTGTATGTATAGTTGGGATTATGTTTTCCAATATCAATAACTTTGCATTTATCAACATAAAATTCATCTGTCATTTTGTTGTCAGGCACCTAGTTTTGAGAGAACCTTTTGAAGGTCGTTACGGTCTGCTTTGGACTTAACTATCTCGAGCAGTTTGGTATCATCTGCAAATTTTGCTGCTTCACTGTTTATTCCATTCTGCCGAGTACTGAAGGTAGTCTTGCCTGTCTGTAATTGCCAGGATCACCTTTAGAGCCCTTTTTGAAAACTGGCGTCACATTAGCTATCTTGCAGTCATTAGGTACAAAAGATGTTTTAAAGCAGGAGTGGGGAACCCGTGGCCCCACATCTTCCCTGGATTCAGCCTCCAAGGCTCAGGCTCCACCCACCCCCATGATTGGGGAGCTGGTGCCCCAACCCTGCAGCTTCCCTGCTGCCCAAATCCCACTTCCCAAGCCTGCTCCCTGGCAGCCTCCTTCCACACACTGAATTCATTTTGGCCCCACCCCAGAATGTAGGGGGCCCACAAAATCCATTAGCTTGGGCCCACCTAGGGTATGTGTGGCCCCTGACTGATTTTTCTGTGGATCAGCAGCCCCAACCAAAAAGGGGTTCCCCATCTCTGATTTAAAGGATAGGTTACAAACCACAGTTGTTAGCTGTGCAATTTCACATTTGACTTTTCACAACTCTTGGGTGAATGCCATCTGGTCCTAGCAATTTATTACTGTTTAGTTTATCAGTTTGTTCCAAAACCACCTCTACTGGGACAATTCCTTAGATTTGTCACCTAAAACGAATGGCTCAGGTTTGGGAATCTCCCCACATCCTCAGTCGTGAAGATCAATACAAAGAATTCACGTAGTTTCTTGCAATGACTTTATAGTCTTTGCTTACTCTTTTGGCATTTCAATTGCCCAGTGGCCCCACTGCTTATTTAGCAGGCTTCCTGCTTCCAATGTACTTAAAAAGAGTTTTGCCATTACTTTTTGAATTTCTGGCTAACTGTTCTTCGAAACAACTAAGATCTTATTTTGTCGGTTTAGTATGAGGCTTATAATCACTACCCCAAAATTTGTCCCAATTTACCCCTTTTTAAAAGCCATTAATGCTAAAACCGATTTGTAAAAGTACCTATAGAGACTTGATTCCAAGACAAAGTTAGAGCTCACTACCATTACTAGAAAGATGATTAACAAAAAACTTAAGACACTAAACACAGGGTGGCATTTAAATTCCTGAGACCTGAAAAAGTTTTTATTTTCAAAATTGCATCTCATGAGAGTAATGAAGCAATTATCTACAAAAACAGGAATACATTGTGGCTCTGAATACAGATCAAGACCCCTTGTTGAAATGCACAGAAGCAAATAGTTGATCAACACTGGGACTAGAAAGCCAGCCATTGTGAAAAAGTAATCACACAAGAAGAGTTTCCTTTGTGTGCAGCAGCAGCATTGTTTGCATCGATGAGAGTACAATTCATGTGGTAAATGTTGCAGCACACTCAAATGTTTGTATATTTTTAATGTCTCTTGTGGGAACAATGGCAAGTCTTCACCCTCAGAAAGTAGGTGGTTTTTATATTAAAAAGCTATTGCCAGATAATATTTTCATGACATATGTAAAATTGTCAGGGTATCAGAAAAGCAGCAGTTTCTTTAAGTTCAGACTTAAATAGAAAATAAACAAGATAATGCATTATTAAAATTGGCCATTCATTCCTCAGGTAGCCTGCCTGACCTGAGTACTGCAGCATAAGTGGTGTATCACTTCGGTTATTGTTTCAAAAACAGTAAGAGTTAAAACCAAATTAATCCGCTGCTGCTGATTTCTTTATACACACCTCTACTGTAACCAAAGGCTATGCCTTCACTGTTAAGTTATCTACACTCATGTTAAATCCTCTTGATTAGTGAAGCTTGAGTGAGAGAAGCCCTACTGCAAAATAAGCATTGTTCCACATGAGAAGATAGTCCTCATTGACTCCATGGCTGTGTCTAGACTGGCCAGTTTTTCCGGAAAATCAGCCGCTTTTCCAGAAAAGCTTGCCAGCTGTCTACACTGGCCGCTTGAATTTCCGCAAGAGCACTGACAATCTCATGTAAGATTGTCAGTGTTCTTGCGGAAATACTATGCTGCTCCTGTTTGGGCAAAAGTCCTTTTACGCAAAACTTTTGCACAAAAAGGGCCAGTGTAGACAGCTCAGATTTGTTTTCCACAAAAAAGCCCCAATCACGAAAATGGCGATTGGGGCTTTTTTGCGGAAAAGCGCCTCTAGATTGGCACAAACGCTTTTCCACAAAAAGTGCTTTTGCGGAAAAGCGTCCGTGCCAATCTAGACGCTCTGTTCTGAAAATGCTTTTAACGGAAAACTTTTCCGTTAAAAGCATTTCCGGAAAATCATGCCAGTCTAGATGTAGCCCATATGTGGCAACTCATATCCCACAATGAAACTGTCTATCTGAATTACCTTAATGCATTTTAAAAGTTGATTAAACTAACTTAAAACAAAACATTTTATTTTAGAATAAGTGTCCACACTTGGAATTAATCAGGAATAGTTAATATGCTTTAAATCACACTCTTCCTTACTCTGGATTAATTTTCATGTGTAGACAAGCCCTAAAACTCAAGATGCACAGAAGGAAGGCATTATCAGCTGAAAACTTGTGAAAGCTTAAGCTATAGGCTATACTCTCTGGCAACAGACCAACTCAAATAAAAAACACCACCTCACTTGAGTTACAAGTTGGTGTAAGTGGACAAGATTCAAGAGAGGGGCAATATTCAAGCTGTAACTTAACTAACCCTGTAGTGAGCACAAGTACAATGAGAGGTATACAGAAACTGTAAGTAACCATGTATAAAATGTCTGTTAATATTTCAGTATAGGATTAAATGGGTGAACCCTTCAAGAAGCAGAATTCTGAAGAATCTGATATCCACTGAACCTGTAGCAAAGTATTAAGGGGAGCCCTCTCTCTCCAGTCCCTTGAATCACCTCACATGCCATCCACATCAAAAATAAAAATCAGACCCAACTATCTATCTCATTTAACTTTCTTCACTAATACTAAAATGTGCAAGTGCTGATCTAGCAGCTATTTCTTATAAAACTGCAGGACAAGTCAGCATATCCAGCTGCACAGAACAAAAACAGTACAACTATCTGCATCTATACATGTACCCTACATAATCCTGCAAGTAAGTGGTTAACAGTTAGGATTCAAGATTAATTTGGATTAGTACCTGAGGGAAATTCACAGCTCTCTTGATGCTACTGCTTCAGTTTGTCTGATGGCAATTCAAGA